CCATGGCTGTAATCGTATAGTTGCCTCCGCTCCCAGCTCTGCCAGCTCTCACACTGAAATTTCTTAAGGAATTTCCCATTCTAGTTTCATTTGAGTTTCATGGTATAATACTAGCAGTTCTCTTTCACCAGCAGAGGGCGCTATATGGATTAAAACAAGCATTATCACCCTACAGAGTGTCGAGTGTAGACGCACGTACATACGCTGTTATTTTACAGTTGAGGAACCATCTTGTCTTCATTGTAAATCTTTTCCACTAGTGTGTGATCACTGCATTTAAAGGATCAATACAATTAATGTTTGCATCTATATCTATCTCTCCAGATCGAAGATTAGTCTAAGAAAGATATTGAGCGATATATCGGTATCAGATTTTATCTGACGCCCATCTAGCTTGTTAAACTAGCATAATCTAAACGGCAAAAATACAAAGCGGACAGATCAGCAATTTGGCTTTGGGATTTGGCTGAAGTGAAGTCTATAGTGTCGTGGCAAACAGCAACAACATACCTACCTGTAAGTCAAATCAACCCCTTGATATGCCTATTTATAAACTATCCTTGATATAAAAAACACCCAAGTGCAGTTTTTACCAATAAAGAATTGAGCTATAGAAATCAGAGCTGTTCTTTTCACCAAGCTGTAAATAAGATTATTCCTGCAATAAAAATAGACATTTTAATGTTGGACCTAATGGGGATTCATTGGCTTTTGGGGCCAGCCTCAAGAGGACACTTGAGAATCTTTCACACTTCAATATTGGCTTCATTTTCCAACAATGAAGATTGCAGTTTGACAAGATTGTAACCAATAAAGAAGTATTTTTTCCTGAGTTTAAACAGTGTTGGGAACATTAGGAATATCAGTTCACAACGCAACATAACTTACATCACATGTCTATATGTTTTATGTTTGAATCATAGTGAGTACTTTTGCTTTCCTTTAAACATTTGGCTACATCTACATTGCTTTTAAATGCTGGACAACAACTTTTTATGTTATGATTCTAGTACTGCTTAATTTGAAGAATGTAAATGATTATCCTCCCAAAAAATAAACAAATCATTCAGACTGATGAACGCTTCAGCCTGCAGCTAACTATAAAATCTAATCAAATCCAAAGGGCCTTGATACATACACAAATGTTTTTAATACATTTGTTTTCTTTCAAGTATTGTTAGAAAAGCCCCGAACAGGAATCTGGAGTTTATAAGCACCATGTAAAGATAAACTACCCCTCAATGTAATAATTGGTGCATTTATAAAACCACTTATTCACTGGACAAAGAAGAAATGCTCTCAGAACTAAGATGATTTTCCAAGTTAATATGATTTAAAAAGACACTGGCCTACAGTTAATACACCCCAGAAACTATGTTGAAACAGTTACCTCTGATACTTGCAGCGGGTCAGATTACCCAGCTGTGTCACCCTTGGGTGTTGCAAAAGAGCACGCACCTCTAGCCAGGAATAATATTTCTGAACCAAACCAAAATGAGCTCTGCTCGTAGGGCAATCACAGTTAATGTCCGTGAAAGGTATGTGGGGACCGGGCAGATGTTTAAAAAAAAAAAAAAGACAAAAAAAAAACAAGTGACGAAATATTTCATCAGCATGCTATGAACACAGGCAGGGTTGTCATAAATGTGCAGGTCTAACTAGCATGAGATCGGATGTGACAAATTCAGACTGCGGGCTGTTTTTACAAAGACATGGTTACAAATATTTATGTAAGAGAAAGCAAATTTGTTGTTTTTTTTGCCGCACACTAATACGTCCCATATGATCAGAGTTTCTCAGTGACTTTGAACCTTTAATTAAACATTAGGTCATCTTGTTGTACGTAATGTAAACAGGAGTATTAAAGGGGTATTATAGTAAGCTGTGACTTTGAATGACCTCTATTGGCCACCAGAGGGATGAGCAATAATAAGATGTGTCTATCCAAATACTGCTTAATTGTTTAGAGCAATTTCCACAAGTTTCCATCAGCATCTTTAATGCCAATAAAGATGCAACCACAGCTAAAAAGAGACACAATGACTCACCTGCTTCCAAATTGACCTGCTTTAGAAACTTAAGATATGTGTCTGTTTACTGCCATTTGTGCCTTTCTGGTAGTCTGCCTGTAACAGGGAAGGCTTAATATTTTTGTGAGAAATTTGCATTCCTTCAAAGAGATATGAACCAAAAGGCAATCAGCTTACAGCTTAGATTTACACAAAAACTGGACACTTAAGGTAACACATGTCGGTTTTACATTGGGAGTCTGAAACCGTGCAGTAACAAGGCTCCGCTTTCACTCCGTCTTTGTATTTTTACATTGAATCCACAACATCATAATATTGGTGTCACAATGTGTTGATTTACTTTGTAGCACAACGTCAGCAGGAGATGCATACAGCGGGGGCTTCACATGCACACACACTCAGATGTGCATACACAAACACATGGCTGGTCAAAGCATAACAGGGCCATACGGTCCCAACTTCAACTGGCAAGGTAGCTTCAGTTGGGAAGCTTTGCTCTGTCCATATAGAACTTTGTACATGTTTCAAACTTTGCAAAGAAGACAAAAAACAAGAGGCACGTTATTTGCTAGTCCTGCTCAGTCTGAGCTCTGGCCTGTCGTAAACTTTTTAACACATTTGTTTCTCTTTACTAACTATACTCAACTGAGATGATGAAATAGAGAGAGGTGAGGACACACTGACTCTTCTTCAATCATAATGCAACAAACAGACATTTTTAGATTTCTTGTAGTGCACAAAATAAACATTCAAGATAAATTGAAGGTAGAATGCATTTTTTAGGGGGCAAAGCCAGGCTATTTCCCCCCCTATTTACAGTCTTTGTGCTAAGCTAACTGTCTGCTGGTTGTAGCTTTTAAAATACTTTATAAATGAGACAGTAGTCAAGTAATTCTCACAGCAAAAAGTAAAACTATTTGCAAATAATTACAGTTTTTTTTTCATTAAGCTTCTGAGCTTTGTCCGCTTTGTGTTGATTTCAGCGCCCCCTGTGGACAAGACAGTAGGCCTATCTATTTTTTCTCTTTCTATCTGAACTGTACTGAACTCAGTGAGAATCTTTTCCATGGAAAATGTAAAAGTAAAGTTTTTGAAGCATGACATTTATTCCTTTCCTCTGACACCTACACCACAACAGCTTTAGACATTAAATATAGTTTTATAGAAACAGTCACTCTCAATGCTGAAGGTCTTGTCTGCTTTTTCAGGCCATATAGAGGCATCAGTATTAATATCAGCGTGTTTCTCAACTAACCAAAAACTCAGCAAAATATGACAACACATTATCTTTCTATATAACTTTATCTTGCATTTCTTGTAGTACTGCAAATCCTAATCGACTTTAAAATATTTCTAAAGACATGAGATCACCCATTAAACTGCAGGTTCCAAACAAACACATTTTACCTAAGTGTGTGTGTGTAACTGTTCCTCTACTGAAAAAGCTTTTAATAATGTAAAGACTCGAGCTTTTTGAGTAGTTTTAATCTGCTATTTTCAAGGTCAGTTTTAACAAAATGTCCACTAACTCACCTGTTTGGGATCTGACCTCAACACGCAGCCACCTCTCTTTCTATCTTACAAACATACTGTAGGGAAACTGTCAAGCTGTAAAGACGAGCATCAAAATCTGAACATCTAAACTTTGCTTCTCCTAACCATGTAACCTCATTTTACCCAAATTATGCATACATCTGCTTGTCAAAACATATTGAGTCCCTAAATGAAAGCCAAGTGATCTGTAAACTGTGTAAACTGTGTTTTTGGGTTCAAAATTTCACTTGTAGTCAAATATTTTGAAACCGTTGTTTACATTTTTATAAAACCCACTAAAACTGAAATGCTTTTGTTATTTTCTTCCCCTGGTGCAAATTCAAGGCGAATGTACACTGCCAGGCCAAACAAATGGTTCTGATGCGAAACAAATCTTGGCTCACTTTTTTGTCCATCTGAGCACTTGAGCAAACAATCCGAGCATCTGGTGAAATAATTGCTGACTCACTGGTGTTGATCAACAACCTGATCTGCCTCCCAAAGGCATATTAGTGTCATTTTGAGCTTTAGGAAACAGTACAGATCTTTTTATTACCTCACATATTTAAGATGCAATGAGGTTAAAAATGATCAAGTTTACTGTGATTCAGCACTTTCTGCACACACCTCTGAGCAAAGGGAACGCAGGCCGAGTCTTGTGCATATAAACCATGATTCCCCAACTCAGGCTCTGTGCCAGTGATACCATGAGACTAATGATTAAAACAAGCCTTCTCATCTGTTTGACTTCCAGAAAGCCAGATTTCCACCCCCTGCGCAGCACTTTTCATTCCAGCAACATTACATAAATCAGTGCACTGCAGAGGAGTGGAAAGGAAGAATCCCCTAAGTAATGAGAGGGGGAAAAAATATCACAAGGAACCATTTGGGTAAAAGTTTACTACAGTTTGGAGGATATCTAGGCTATTAATTGCCTTCCTCAAATACTTATTGCACAATCAAAACAAGTTCTTGTGTAATCCATGATATAGACGCAAAATCAGACCTGATTATAACATTAAGCACAAGTGACCAACCATGTTAAAATATTTTCCTCTAGCTAAGGAGAATTTCCCCAATTTATCATAAAGTACTGACAGTTCAGTGGTTGTAAAGCATTTCTGCACATCCTGAATCCACCAACAATGCTTCATAATTTATGTCTCGGCTGGATTTACTTTCAGCTGTTGACATCTGCACTTATATATATTTCTCAATTTTTCCACCATTCTCATTGTCAATAGAAAAATGATGTAGTTCTAGCTGAGTAAGCAAACTTTTAGATGATCTCAGAAAACAGAGCCTGCAAATTAAACGTTGCCTATTTTTACAAACTGAAACACAGCATAGCGTCTGCAAAGTCTGCATGACAACACGTTTCTACATTTCAAACACATTCAGAGTACAGGCACGTAATATTAAGTGTGATATTCTTACTTTCTTTTGCGTCCAGTCATGCTTCACTCAGCTTGTCGGTACGTCTGTGCCTCGCGCTGGCTGCACGCGGATTGTGCTTCCCCCTGTCATGAGCTCTCTCTAGCTGCGCGAGCTCACTCTCTGCTTTGCTTTGCTGCGCACGCGCACACGCACACGCACAAACACTCAGGCAGAAACTTTATACTCTTAATAAACACAAGATGTGACGAAGCTAATTACATTAACTCAATGTAAGTATTTTTACTACTCAGCGGTGTTTGTTTTTATCAATGCAAACCACGATATTTCACGCTGCATTTATATTTTCTGTCATGTTGCTACAAAGAGTTCACTGTAACCTTAAACCTACTTTTAGGTAAAACTATCATCTGTGACTTTACAGGGAGATTTTCTCACAATATTCCAACAAGGATTTTCCATACAAATCTCATTAATTTTTTTTTACTTTAGTAAGATTTTTTCATTTGTTTCTTGATGTCATATTTAGCCTTTATTTTTCAGCAGGTTGGTCCCGTTGAAATAAAGAACCTCCTTTCCCAGAGAAACCTGGCCAAGACAGTCAGCAGCACAAACACACAGTTACAGACAGAGACACAAAGGGAGACAAAGTACAATTTACAAAACACTAAAATTTTCATTGAAAGACAACCATCTGGGAGTCAAATCTGTGAGTCAGCGGTTGAAGCTGAAAGCATCGACATCTAGAATCTGCTCACAAGTCTTTCATTTTAGATCTACATCAGACATTTAAGGACACCAGCTCCTTGAGTTTCAAGTCAGTCTGCAACCAATTGAGGGTGCAGAATACCCAAAAGCCCTTTCTGTCCAAGCATTTGGGACAGAGAGAATAAAGAGGTCCTAAAACTCATCGATAGTGTGGGAGCAGACCAAGATTTTCCTCATATGTAAAGGTGTACAGTGTATGAGCCTATAGGGTGGGTTAATGATGTGTGAACAATTTATACAAGTTTGATAAACGTGCTGCTAAAAAAATAATTTCAAAATGATATATTACTGAACCTTTTATCATTGACAAAGTAACACTTTTTACTGTAAATAACAGGCTTACTTTTGCTCTGCATTTGGCCCTACCCTTGAACTTTTGTGCCATTTATAATCTCAAATTTAATGATTTCTTTCCTTTTGATTTATGACTTCCAAATGTAACAACTTCTAATTTCACGGCTTTTTGCAAAGAGGAAAACATAAAAGTCCCTTTACTCGCGACTACTCAACAGAGATTAAGATTATAACATGAAAAACCCCAAATATTTATAATTTATGACTCGTAACTGCTCAGCATTATTACATGATTCATTAAAGATGTTTCAAGACATTAAATATTTTGCTATGGACAGGCTTTGTTTTGACTTTTTAAAAAATAAAATTAAACAAATAATAAAATCTTAAATTACTTTTTTCTTCCTCGTCATAGAAAACCCCAGGATCTCAGAGTATGCTCAAGTTGTTTATTTTAAGAATTTAACAGCTGGACAAAATATGACTCTTACTTTACTCCTGTTTAGTTTGTTAGAGGTTTTCAGATCTCTATCATGAAAGTAATGCCATCGATCAGTGTTTGCTTCAAAACTTGATTAGTAACCCTTGAGTGACCCTGCTCATACATTCAGATTTCAGATCAGTAAACTCAGCAGACATATTTGAAAGCAGTGAAGATTGATTAGATTGTTACAGTAGATTTAAATGCTTTTGATATTTAGAGGTTCTGTAACAGCAAACTTTCTCACATAGCATTTTGATCTCTTGTTATCAGAGTCAGCTTCATTGTTCAAGCATGTAAATACAAGGACTCGGGCTGGTTTTAAGTTGCTCTCCATGTCTTCACAAACAGATCAATTTAAAGTGTGATAGAAAAGACTGATGGCTAAAAACAAATATATGTAAAAAACAATATACATATGATAATGAATGATAATATGATGTACATACCAGTGGGTCAAAAACAGGAAAAGCAACAACAAACAAATGTATATTTTTAATAAAAAAGATTGACGACATGACAGCACCCCAAAGGTGAAGCCAAACATTTTGGAGCTCCCCCTACTGACTGGTGACAGGATAGTTATATATATTGTCTATAAGCAAGTTAAAACACTTCTGTAAATCATAAAGTATCAAAAAAGATATTTACAGGAGGACTTCTCCGGAGATTCTCCTGAACTAGCTGTTCACATATGCTCCTCACAGCGGGGGACTTTCCCTGTCAGAAGGGAGGGGGATCGGGGGATTTCCCGAGGTAAGACGTGACGTAAAAAAACAACGCAGAAGTAGCAACAGAGTCGCTATAACAACGCTATAATGAGAATATTTGCCTTTATATCAATGCTATGTGTAATCCAATGGAATGACAACATCCACAAAAGAGAGGAGAACAACATACTGACGCACAGAAAACATAATGCAGCCGTTTAATTACGTGCACGGAGATCGAAGTGGTCGCGTGCAGACACTTTAGGCAGTCACTGTATGTAAACATCATTCTCTTTCCATTGGCTGAAATTGAAATCTCCGGAGTATATGCTGACGCGTTCAGACATCAGCTCACTCGTATTTTCTGCGGAAAAAATACTAGGGGTCTGGCCGGAGAAACTCCGGGAAAAGTCTGCGCGAAAAATGCGGCTGTTTGCGTTCACACATAGCCTAAAGTACCTTCGGGTAGACAAATCTCCGGAGTTTTTCAGGAGATTTCCAGATATGTGAAAAAGGTTTATGATGTTGATTCAGGTTCAATAGTTCAATGACTAGTCAAACTGGAGTCCTGATAGAGGCATTCAACCCTTACACCTTTATTGTGTTTAGAGTAAATTAACATATATAATGTGTTGTTTTTATAAGGATTAGCAGTGGTGTAGTTGTGCCTGAGCAGTGGGTATACACTTAATTTTTATCCAAAATGTGTTTTTTAAGGTGGCCCGTCCAGCAGAGGATAAAAGGCCTCTGTTATAAACAATGACATGTAACACTCCTCTTACATATTTAGTTAGTGCGCACTAGCCAATTAGAGACAGGGAGTAGGGAGGATCTTTCATTCACCATCCCCCCCAAAAGAATTGCAGCAAACTACTGAATATTGTCAATCAATCAACATTGTGTACCATAGGGGTTAGAAGTGGGTATACCCTAAGCAGACTTAAAAATAAGTGGGTATACAACATATACCTTGGTATACCCTGCACTACACCATTGCCCATCAGATCATCCTAAATAAATAAGAGAAAATAAAAATGCAAGCCCAACTCTACAGGTTAAATCAAATTCTATTGGAGACTCCACTGAGTGATGTCTCAAAAGGTATATCTCTAATTCTTATTATAATTTTGTTATCGAAATAAAGTATGATGATGTCATCTGTCCTCAGGTGTCTACCTGAAAGTTGTTACTTTTTCTAACAGCACCAAAGTAATCTAAGTAGCCCACAAATGTGTTGCTTAAGTTCTTATGATGTTTGGGTTGATTATATTGGTTGGGTTCTTTTTGGTATTGCAGTTTATCTAAGTTGTTATGTTGTTCTTTTTATTTTGGTGTTGTTTGGCTTGTTTTATATTTGGGCTCTTATGCTTTGTCCTTCTGTTTGTTTTGTAAACCTTTGCTTTCTAAAGGTGCTGAATTAAAGTTATCTATCTGTCAGTCTGTCCACCTACCTACCAACCTACCTGGCTACCAACTTCCTGTAGTTACCTACCTTCTTATCTAATGATCTAATGTTACTTGTGTAAATCTCAATTGGGAGAAAAGGTGTGCTTAAAAGTCTCCTTCAGCAAGAACCTCAAATTGATCCTAATATCGGCAGGAACCCTGCATGCATCTGCCAACACAAGATAATATAGTTTTTCAAAACTTCTTCTCCCTGCTGTTTTATTAACATTACAGCTGACAGCGCCTGTAAATAACCTCCTCATCACACTCCCGTCACACTCCTTCTGTCCTTGTTTGTACCGATCACATGAAAACGTTGACACACTGTACTGCAGCCTGTCAAACATCTGGCCCTCTGATCTGTGAAGATTGACATAAATACACAAAAGACACAAACAAGCAGAGGAACCTTTTATCTGTGTATCTGGTTACACAATGCAACTGCAAGTCCGAGTCGTATTTCTGATTCCCGAGATTCTGTACAGGGCTGTAAACAAGTCCTCTGGGATGGTGCTAAAAACCAAACCAGATGGGTGAAAACAATTCACAAAAGAACATATTCTCCATGTGAAATTGGGACATTGTTTGGGGTTTCATCTCCTATAACTGAATACAGAAAACAGCTGGTTTTGGTCTCTGTTGCTTGCCATCCTTTATGTTTATTCTTTGTATTTCTCCTCAGGTGCAATAAAATCATTCAGAAATATATAGGGGTCTTTTTCCACAGTTGTGTTTTTTGCCTTTTGGGCTGAACTTACCATAAAAGAAGAGGCACAGGTATTTCTAAAATCATTAATAGTGGCTCATTGATTAAATTAGTTTTATTCTGTTTTATTAAGTACACATGATTTCCACATTTTTCACTTCGATGCTTTAATGTTCATATTTTTGAATTAGGACTTTTTACAATAGAAATTGCAGACGTTTTGAGTTTATAATAACACTGTGGTTAGGTTTGAATCCAAAACAATCTGAGGAGCCGCAGTTGATCTAACCAGTCAGGAAATGTTCAGTGTTTTCTCAATTTTATAGTCAAGTACTGAACATTTGGCTTTTCGAGACTTCATAAAAAAATCTTTCATATGAAATAATCTGGGCAGGAAACTTGATGCTTTGCTGAAGATGTACAATTTGTGAGGATGTCTTTTTAATGGCTCTGTGGAAACTAACACAACTGTTGTTCATCACCTATGCACTAGATGTCCTCAGCGAGTTTCCCACCTCTTTGGATCATCTGACTTTCTTTGCCATCAGCCACCTGCGTGCACACCTATTGGTGGTTTTCTCCTTTTTTTCCTGTGTGTGGTAAATGTGTAAGGAGATTATTCTGATTGTCCTTTATCTTAGCAGCCGCACACAGTTTGTTTAATGTAAGATTAGAGCATATCAGAAACACTGGCATTGTATGAAGTTCAACCACACCTTTGCA